TTAGGAGGGATATATATTTTAAGTAGTATGTTATTTTTTATGTTTCTTTATTCTTGCTCTCCTTTCTTTTTCTTTACTGTTTTATCTATTCGTTAAGAAATATAAAAGTGCTGAGATGGTTCATATGGAAAAAATAGACTTAAATTTTTAAATGTAATTAATTTTTGAGAAAATTTTAACCAGTAAGTATACTTAGAATTTGGTGGGAGAAACAAATTTAAATAAGGACTGTAAGAGGATCTATGATAAGGCAATCAGAATGATTGGATAGAAAAGAAATACTATATTGTTGTGATTATTATTTTTAGGAATATCGGGAAAAATTACATATTTAATTGTTATCTGTCAAAACAATAAGAATTGTATTAACTCAATGTTTGCAAAAGAGGATATTTTGGGGAAAAGAGGAAATCAACTAAAACCATTATGTGGATTATGGATTATAGAAATCAATTGTTAGTGATTGTTTTATAAATGTAAACCCAGACAATACACTGTTCACCAATTATTAAATGATTTATGTTTAAGAAAGTCTATAAAATATATTACAAAAAAATGCAAAGAATTAAATGATACAAAAGTATGCCAAGAACTACCTTGAGTAACAGAGTGTATTTTTAATGCTAAATTTCAGCCCTGAAACGTAATCTTGGAGGCATAAAAACACATCCAATGTGGATCGCTGCCTTTATTTAATTAATCCCTGGGACTGACATGACTTCCTGGCTGGCCTATACTCCCATGTATTAATGGGCATTTTCTTTCTTTCAAGACTGATTATCTTCTCTGTCTAGGATGATCAAAGTATTCTGCTCTTAAATGACTTGCTTTAGATAGCTTGTAATTATTTATAAAGGCGGCTGGTGGTAGTGATGATGGGATATGTATATTTGAAAGGAGTCCATTACAATGAAAAGATTCTGCTGGTTTGTTCAGTATAAGGCTTGGTGATTTTTATTTTGGGGTACATAAGAAGTCCTAGATTTTTTTTTTTTTAAACCTATGCTTGGGCAATTGCAATGCTTTGGGATTTGGAGAGGGAATAATAGCTTTTAAACCATGCAGCTCCTTTGTATGCAGCTGTTTCTGATTCTTTTTTCCTCCAGAAAATCTACAGTTAAGAAGCTAGCTTGATGAACCTTTGACTCTATAGAAAGCAATACCTTTTATCTGTTCTTTTGATTGGACATAATAACTGGAGGAGGCAACATCACCTGTATTTTATCTATTTGACAACTTTATATTATTTGTCAGGAAAAGGATCTCATGTTCTAAAAAAGGAACAGGGAAGACTGCTTGATAACAGATTGGATACTTGTCCATATAGCTATTCAGATAGTCAGATAGGAATCTTTCCTAGTCAAATTTGGGAAGGCCAGAGGTTAAATCAAAAACTTGAATGAGCTTCTACAGTTCTGCTTCTCAATTTGAAAGTACTGGTGAGCATTCTATAAATTCTTCATCTCTATCAGATTTTTGTTTTAGGAATCCAGTAGATGCCAGAAAAGAGATATAGAAAACAGTAACTTCTCTGCCAATTTCTGGCCATCTGGATTTCTGCAACCCAAATCTGGTAACTCTTCTAAAGAGTAGCATTGGAATTTGTGTGGATAATGAAAAATATATACACTTGACAAGTTTGGAGTTCACTCCGCTTTGTGCTTGGCTAAAGATTTAATGATAATAAAAAAAGATGGGATAATGCCAAGGGAGAGGTCTATCAATAAAGGAGAATATTTGTAGCTCATTGAAATAGCAATAGCAATAACACTTAGATTTATATACCGCTTCACAGTGCTTTACTGTCCCTAAGCAGTTTACAGAGTCAACATATTGCCCCCAATAATCTGGGTCCACATTTTACCAACCTCGGAAGGATGAAAGACAGAGTCAACCTTGAGCCGGTCAGGAACAAACTTGTGACAGTCAGCAGAATTAGCCTGCTGTATTGCATCCTAACCACTGCGTCACTACAGAAATGAGGGGTCCTTGGTGCTTTCTGAGCTTGGTTGTTTTCTTTGCAGACATTGCATTACCCAAACTAGGTAACATCATCAGTGCTAGTCTAGCACTAATGATGTTACTTAGTTGGGTAATGAAACATCTGCAAGAAAACAACCAAGCTCAGAGAGCACCAAGGACCTTTCAGAGATCTATCAATTCTGATAATTCTGGTGTCTGTACAACAGGTCTGCCAAGATACATGGGCATGAACTTGAGAAATTAGAACATATGTCTGCTCTTTCTTGTTAATCAAGGATCAAGGCAATTGCTAAAGAATACATTCAAGCTCTAAAATCTGATATCAAGCATCTAATGCAGTGGTTCTCAACCTTTTTAATGCCGCGATCCCCAACCGGTCGTAAGTCGAGGACTACTCAACCGGTCGCAAGTCGAGGACAACTCAACCGGTGCAGCACCGTTTGCAGAATGGGACTTTTGGCGGGCTCAGCAGGGCAGAGACAGCCTGGACAATTCCTATTGGCTTTTGAAAGCCAATAGAATTAGACTCTATTCAAGAGAGTCTATTCTATTGGCTTTCCAAAGCCAATAGAATAAAAGGGAGTAGCACAGCTAAGGAAAAGGGGGAAAAAATGGAGGATTGCGTTGTTTGGCGACCCCCATGAAATGGTCGTTCGACCCCAAATGGGGTCCTGACCCACAGGTTGAGAACCACTGCTATAATGTATCATAAAATGCACAAAAGGCTATTTAACTTACATGAAGTGAATTCTAGTTTCCTCTAGTGGTAGGGAAAGGCTAGCTGCTTAAGGTTTCATTTTGGAGAGGAAGGCAAGATATAAATGTCATAAATAAGTACTTTTTTCTATTGATGGGTAATGCTGCTTAAGTTAATTTGCACTCATCTGTATGCTCTGTTTAGGTAACACCATGAGACTTTTAAAAATGCTGTGCATTAGGAAAGCAATTAAATTCCTTGATTGTAAGATAAGGGTTGTGCTGTTACATAATCTTGTTTTTAATCTCTTCCCTAATTAGCACAAAAGCTAATTAAAAGCTTTTCAGCATTCTGGAAAAAAAATTGGGAGTTGTACATTTATCTTAGCAACTTGAAACATGGATGATGTCAATAATAGTCATTTGATATACAGTTTAGAAGCAAGTTTCTGTTAATTGTATTGAGAGATTACATGAGGATTTTGTTATTTACAGTAAATTATATTCATGCTCTATATACTGTAGCACAGAGTATAAACTATATATCATATTTTCCGTCTGTGATCTTTGGAAGTGACGGTCCAAAGAATTATGGTATTTACTTATTTAAAATTAATATGGTCTTTGAACCTTCATAGCTGAAGAAAAAAATCTTGTAATGTTATGCCAGTAACATATCTATCTTTGAATACCAGAGTGGTTTTTGAATAATTTTAAGAAACCACATTGTTGCAGAATTGCATTGTGATTGCTTAATATTATCAAGTGCCAAGCACACAATCTAGGTAGACCGAGAAGGATGACTGTAGCTTGTTACAGGATAATTGAAGCTGATGTACAGTAGTTAGAACATACACCAATGCACATCATAGCAGTGTTCCAATATCTTAGGGGGTGCCACAAAGAAGAGGAAGTCAAGCTATTCTCCAGAGCACCTAAAGGCAGGACAAGAAGCAATGGATGGGAAATAACCAAAGAGAGAAGCAACCTAGAACTAAGGAGAAATTTCCTGACAGTTAGAACAATTAATCAGTGGAACAACCTGCCTCCAGAAGCTGTGAATGCTCCAACACTGGAAGTTTTTAAGAAGAGACTAGACAGCCATTTGTCTGAAATGGTATAGAGTTTCCTGCCTGAGCGGGGGGTTGGACTAGAAGACCTCCAAGGTCTCTTCCAACTTTTATTATTATTATTACATTGGTGCTGAGCATGGATTTCTTCAGCTGCTCTACTATTGGTTTTGGAAGCTCCTAAATGAATGATTATTAGATTATGATACTTGGTCACAAACATCCATGCGCATTAACCATAATGGGCGCAGCAGGAACTAGTGAGATAACATACAGGTAGTCCTTGATTTACAACCACAATTGGGGCCAGAATTTCTGTTGCAAAGCAAGATGGCTGTTAAGTGAGTCACACCCAATTGTGTGATCTTTTTTGGCACAGTTGTTAAGCAAATCACTGCAGGTGAACCACGTGGTCATTATGCAAATCCAGCTTCCCCATTGACCCTTGCTTGTGGGAAGCTGGCTGAGAAGGTTGCAACTGGTCGCCACATGACTTTGGGATGCTGCAACCATTGTAAATACATTTATCAAGCACCCAAATTTCGATCACATGACTGTGGGGATGCTGCAACAGTCATACCTGCGAGGACTGGTTGAAAGTCACTTTTTCAGTGCACTTTTAATTTTGAACCACTCGCTAAACTAACGGTGGTAACTCGAGGACCTCCTGTAGCAATGTAATGACTGATATCCAATAGCATAAAGAAATTGATTTCATAACCTACTCCAAATTGGAAAACTAGGTTTCACCTATGAAAGATTTGAACCACAGTTTGAAATAACATTAAGATACTGGCTTTTTCAAAAAGAAGTAATTACACTTTCCTAATTTGGATAACATTGAAACTATAGTTAATTTGAAGGGGAGGTTGGTTGGTGGTCATTTTAGTTGGCTTTGGTTAAATTGCTTGCACTGCTAAAAAACCTGGATATATGGCAAATGTTTTATGTAAATCAGGGGTTCTCAACTTGGCAACTTTAAGACTTGTGGACTTCAACTCCCAGAATTCCTCAGCCAGCTTTGCTGGCTGAGGAATTCTGGAAGTTGAAGTCCACAAGTCTTAAAGTTGCTAAGGTTGAGAACCCCTGATGTAAATGGACATATGATCATCCAAAGATCATCACTGAAGGCACCGAGTCATATGTGTCCTGTCTCTGTTTTCTTCTTGCTAATGGCAGCTGCCTGATATAATTAGCTGGATGGGTAGGCTTTTCGGAAGAAAGCCATTATATTCTTTGCCTGTTTTTTAGGTTGCAGTTGCTCCTTGGTGGCTGCCAGTTAAAGGAGCAAATTGGAAGCACCCAGAAGGCCCTGATTCTGATATCTTAAAGAGGTGAGCCCCAAATGGTATCAAGCTTCAATTGGTATTTTGCTGAAAACGCACCAGAATCGCTGAGAGATATTTATTACTCTGAATTAAGCATCACTGCACAAATAAGTTGATGTTGTCAGAATAAAGGAACCTATCATAGATCAGATTTTATTTGGAGGCGGAGGGCAGGAGATTTCTTGGTAGTAATTCTTGTTAGATTGCCAATGCAATCCTAGGCAACATTAATAGAGGGACAGACTCAAGTATTAGTACCACTTTATAAAGCTTTAGTAAGACCACACTTGGAATATTGCATTCAGTTTTGATGCTACAATATAAAAAAGATGTTGAGATTCTGGAAAGAGTGCAGAGAAGAGCAACAAGAATGATTAGGGGACTGGAGACTAGAAGATTTGAAGAACATGCTAGCAATTAGGTATGCCTAGTCTAGTGAAAAGAAGGACTAGGGGAGACATGATAGCAGTGTTTCAGTATTTGAAAGGCTGCCACAAAGATGAGGGGTTAGGGTTAGTGTTTTTCAAAGCACAAGAAGGCAAGACAAGAAACAATGGATGGAAACTAAACAAGGAGAGAAGCAACCTAGAACTAAGGAGAAATTTCCTAACAGTGAAAACAATTAATCAGTGAATGGCTTGTCTTCAGAAATTGTGGGTGCTCCATCACTGGAGGCTTTTAAGAAGAGACTGGACAGCCATTTGTCTGAAATGGTACGGGGTCTCCTGCTTGAGCAGGGGGCTGGACTAGAAGACCTCCAAGTCCCTTCCAACTCTGTTATTCTGTGAGAACCCCAAAGCTTATCATTGGCTGGGATGAATACCAGATGACTTTTTAAAGGTCATTGATTTCTTGAGATATGCTACATCCTTGGTACATTTTATATGAAAGGGAAGGTTCTATAACTTGCTAATCGCTAAGAAGATGAATGTTTTGGTGTTGGAAGATGTACTAAGTGTCTATTCATATGTAAATGTATCTACTCATACATTTCTGTCCTATATCCAATAATTGTGGTTTTGCTTGCTTGCTTCTCAGGACAGTTTCAGTAGCTAAATACAAAACATACACATGTATTGATTAAGATGGTTGCAAGGATACAGGTAGTCATTGGTTTATGATAGCACTTGGGATCAGAACTGCCATTGCTAAGCAACATGATTATAAAGCACAATATCACATGACTGCACCTTTTAGTGACTATAGTTCCTGAAGTCCCAATTGCTATCATTAGGCAAGGACTGCGCGTGTCATTAAGCAAGGACCTCACGTGATTGCAATTTCCAAGTTCCTGCTGTCTTTCCCTTTGACTGCAACAAATGTTGGAAATCCCAGTCATGTGAGCATGACTTGATGTGACATCATAATTGCAAGGTAGGCACTGGGTGCCTGGATCATGTGATCATAGGGACACTGTGACAGCCAAAACTCCCAAGGACTGGTCATAACTATCCCCATTCAGTGTCATCACAAATTTGAACAGTTACTGAAAGAGTGGTCATAACCCAAGGAATACCTGTATGCACATTTCAAATTTTGGGAAGGTTGTTTTCCCCCTTTCATTGCAATTTTAAATTAGATGTTAGCTATTGTATATACTTTGTTTCTAATGAATTATATTATCACATCTCAAGTATAAATTTGATTTCATTTATATTATCGAACCACAGAAAACTACAGTATATAACTAAAACTATTTTGTAAAAAAAAAAAAAGGTTGAAAGGTTACAGATATGTGGGCATTTGTTTATGAAAATTGATTTGCTCCCCAACTTCAGTATCTCCTTTTTATTAAAATAAAGCAGAGCCTTTAATACGAAACCCTCATTTTACCCCCTGGATTTATTTTGGAGAAAACTAAAAGTAGTGAAATGGCCTTCACAGTCTGTCATTACACAGTATTAATCAGTTTTTGCCCCTCAGGGCTGATAAAAGCATTTGGCTTTGCCCTCCCCCCCCAAATCTTTTATGACAAGAACCGTATCATGATAATACCATTTTCATTGTACTTCCCTTATTTAGTCTCCAGTGGAAAAGAATGAGAATGAACTGATTGCAAAAATAGAAGCATCCATTGTCATCAGGGAATTAAAGGGGAAAGAAAGAAAGGTCAAAATCAGTTCTAAATAAGTGTTCTAGATATCTGCTCTCTTTAACCTTAATGCTATGTGAAAGTTTATCTTCCTGATCTAGGTCATGACACCGACTTATTAATCTAAGTGTTCCAGACTGGCATTCTGAAATGAGGACACTTAAGAAGAAGAGGGTATATTCTACTGTGCTTAGAGCAATGAATTCTCATTTCATACAATGTGGGGATGAAACCAGGGGTCCGGGTCCAGGGCTGGAGAAGGCAGATGGGAAAGAAGGTTGTGAGAAGCAGAACTTTGAGGAGAGGTGAGAAAGAAGAGTGTAGACATTAGAGAAAACAACACTACAGTAACTCAATGTCTATGGAGATTCTCAGTCATCTAGGTCACAGTTGTCCCTAAATGTAACTGTTTTCAAAAGGCAACTAGACTTTTTTCCTTAGAAAACATTTAGCTTCTCATCCAAGAAGCTTCTTCAGTTCCAACTGACTGGTGGCGAATGGAAGGACACCAGAGAATTGCAAAGAATATAAAACCTTCCATTTCCCACCAGTCACTTAGAACTTAGAATTTCTTGAAAGAAAACCGCCACCTTTGGGTCTACAATAGCTTGTCAATTATAGCTAGACTATAGGGAAGAGTTGTATGTGTTTGGCTTGACCAGTTCAAGACTTTGGTATTGTTATGATGATTTGTTTGGTAGCTTTAATATGTGAGTGAAACAATGACCCTGAAGTTCATCTTAAATTTGAAGAGCATTCCAGCATCTATTTGGACATTCAAAAAACAGTTCCCGTGATGGAGTAATATCAAAAATTAACTACGTATTTTCTTCTCTTTTCAACTTTTTGTTAAGAGTTGATTCATCAACTCTTCATTCTTCATTAGGGCACAATTTTTCAGGGCCTTGTATTCTATAGTAACTTCTTGTTACCATCTGGGCATGTTAGCCTGTACAGTCACTGGGGTTATGGGAACATATGTACTGTAGTAAATTGAAAAAAAATGCCTAAAATGTCTGTGCATTTTTATGCCTTTTTACAGGGCTAAAGCAGGTGAATGCTAAATCTGGGTCTCTTAATTAGGTACTTGGATTTAGTGTGATTTACTGAGATGCTCACTGCACATTTGGTTATCATTGGTTGACTGGTTATTGCAGCTTGATTCCCTGCAAAGGAAATGATTCTATGCTAAGCACAGACATAGCAGAATACATAGCAGTGTATCATATATACCCTGTGTAATGTCTTGCTTGAATGGGATCAAATAAGACATTAGGTATCTCTTCAAAGGTAGTGGACAAGAGCACTTTAGACTGATCAGAGTCAAACACTGAAACTAAGATAAAAAGGGACAAGATTAAATGATGGGTAAGAATGATATATGTGTTAGCCCAACAAGATACACTAGTGACTAGACCAAAAAACCAATGCTATATAGTCAGAACTACTACATGGTCCTGCTCAGCCTTAACTCTTATCCATATCCTTATCCATATCTGTATCCTTATTCTTACCCTTATATTTACTATCTTTCCTCCTGTCTTCAAGGCCATGCCAAAACCTTCTAAATATGTGAACCTGACATTTATTTCTGATTAATAAATTACACTATGAACATGATTTCTGAAAAACTTTCTCAGCATTACCCCCTTTCAATAGTTTAAATTAGAACTGAATAAAGACTTCTTGCAGCACCATAGCAATTGTCTGCAGTCTCATCTTAGAGATACAGTAATACATTGTAAGGCACAGAAGCCCTTGCAACAGCCCCAATAACTGAAGACTGTCCAGAATGTAGTAATCTACCTACTCACTTGCATCCCCTGTTAAGATTTAATAGGCAGCATAATCTCTTAATTGATTAAGTTTAACAATAGACTGAACCCTAGACTATTGTGTCTGATTCTAAGCAATCCATTATAGGAGGGATAGTGGTAAATTAGAATATATCCAGAAAAGAGCATATAGGATGATAAGGAGTTTAGAAAGAAAAACATTATGAAGAACAATTGAATGAGTAGGATGTTTAACCTAGAGAAGAGAATGCTGTGTGGAGATTTGATAGCTTTCTTTAAGAATTTAAAGAACTGTCTGCAGCGAGCCTGTTATATGCACAAAGGTGGAAACTTTCTGAAATTTCCACAATGGAGGAATGGTTCATGAAGATGATAAAACTTGCAGAAATGGCAAAGTTTACTTGTTTGATTAGAGAGAAGACAACAAACACATTTATTAGTGAGTGGAAACTCTTTATGGCCTTTTTGCTAAGGTCCATTCTAATAACTGTAGTGATTTTTATTGGTATATAATAGTTTAGTTTTGAGTATCCTGTGGATAGAAAACGTAGGCATCAATGTAAATAAAGAGGCACAGAATAAAAACAAGACAGGAAAGGCTATTGCTACGCCACAAAATAGGAGGAATCATGAAAACCTCTCATCAGGCCTCAGAGTTGCCTAATGGAGAAAATATTAGGTTACAGTGTCCTTGTAAAATATGTGTTGCTAGGTTTGCTAATTATGAAAATACAGTTGCTATCTGTCATATGAGATATTAGGGTACAGCGCTTCATTTAATGATTTGGGTAGGACTAGCTGTGCCACAAGCAAAACACATGTGATCGGGCCCTATTTGTCCATGCTTTGTATTATAACATTATCTATACTTGAATAAAAGCACTGGTATTTCACAAGGGGAAAAATAAATGTGACGCTCTCATTCAAAGAGCATGAGTTGGTATTTCTTTCATATCCTATTTTGTTTAATCTTTGTTGCTGACCAAAAATGTGTGTGTGTGAACATGCATATATGTCAGTGGTGCTTGATTTTAAGATAACAAAGTGCTAAAGAAATTCTGAGGGATTTTTATAATTCTTTGTGGTCATTGTTCATACCTTTGTCAGCCAAGTTACACAACAGCATATTGGCACTCTGGTAGAGGCATACAGAATAAATCCTCTGCTGGAGTACATTCCCTTCCTACCAGTATTAACTGGAGTGGAAAAGGACATGTGTCCTTGGCTAGCTAGAGAAAGAATGAGAGGATTCCTGACAGGTTCATATGTCATTCTATGTACTGAAAGATACAGCACGGGTCCAGTTTGGAAAACTGATCAGAAGCTATGTTTCCTCATTTTAATCTTCTGACACAACACTCCACTTTTATTTGCAACGTTTTATGCCATCTTTCAAAAGCAGGTTTAGTTGTGATGTTGTGCAAAAGAATAACAAAAACAGTTGGGAGGGACCTTGGAGTTCTTCTAGTCCAACCCCCTGCTCAAGCAAGAAACCCTGTACCATTTCAGACAGAATGTTGTCCAATTTCTTTCTTTCTTTTTTTTTTGAATTGAAAATTTTTAAATTTTACAAAACAATACAATTCCCTTCCCCGAGCCCCCCCAACCCTCCCATACCCTCCCCCGACCTTCCCAGAGCTGAATACAGGCTTAATTAAAAAATTTTCAGAAAATCTTAAAACAGATATAAACCATAAGCAAATCTAAATACATTAATTAAACAAATTGTAAAATAGTTAACAATAATATATGTATAAAAAGACAAAAATACAAGGAAATACAAGAAAATAGGAAAAAAGAAAAAGGAAAGAAGTCTTAAATTTTAAGTATAAGTTATTGAAAAGCTAAATAATATTTTTTATATCCAACTTATATTGTATAAAGTCTATCCATTTTTTCCATACCAAAAAATACTTCTCTTGCGATTGGTCTTTCAAGAAAGCCGAAATCTTTGCCATTTCCGCCAAGTAAGAAACTTTAAAAAACCACTCTTGCAAGGTAGGCAAAGATTCCTTCTTCCAACATTGCCCTACTAACAACCTTGCCGCTGTAATCAAATTCAACATCAATATAATCTCTTTAGTATCACAATCAGAAACAATACCTAACAAAAACAATTGTGGGGTAAATTTTACCCTTCTTCTAAAAATTCTTTGGATATTCCACCATATCTTAATCCAAAAAGCTTTTATATTTTTACATGACCACCAGATATGATAATAAGTAGCATCCAAACATCCACATCTCCAACATTTAGGCTGTAAGTCAGGATATATACGAGACATTTTTTGTGGATCAAGGTGCCATCTATAAAACATTTTGTAAAAATTTTCCCTTAAATTTTGGGCTTGTGTAAATTTAACATTCCTCACCCAAATAATTTCCCAGGTATCTAATAGAACCGGTTCATCAAAATTTTGTGCCCATTTAACCATACATTCTTTAACTAATTCTGCTTCTGAATCCAATTCTACTAACACCCCATAAATTCTCTTAATATGAGTTCGTCTTTGATCTTTTATTTGTTTTAACAAATTCTCATCTTCTCTAAGCAAACCCACATTACGATCTATCTTCCACCTCTCCACTATTTGTCTATACTGAAACCATGAATAAATAATATTTTCTTGTGTTAAATCTTCCAAAGATTTTAACTGCCAATTTTTACCATCCCATCTAAGCAATTGTACATAAGAAACACTATCCATCTTAACTCCTCTCCTTATCCCTTCTATCGCATGCCATGGTATAGCCCATCCAATTTCTTTCTTAAAAATCTCCAATGTTAGAGCACTTTTGCAGGCAAGACGTAAGCAGGTTTCTCAAAAGCCTGAATCACACTATTAAAGGCATCGTGTGTATTGCTAAATCTGTATGACATTTGGTAGCCAATTAATCTCATATTCTTTGCAAATGCATACAATTAATACTATCCTTTCATTTGTTACTTCCGGTCTCTTTTGTCACATGCTTTTCTAAGCTGAACTTCCTTCCTTCTTTCCTTTCTTTTGCTTTCATCATCTCTGAGTTTTGTTTTTAAAGTTGTATCCATTAATTGGATTGGAGCTCACTCTAAGAATAAATGTCATTGTTGTGCCTTTATTTGTTTTGTTACTGGTACACATTGTGTCAAACAATTTTGAGGTTTGGTAAGACATTCTAGGTCTTCAGCTGGGTTTTATCAAACCTTTTCGCTTTAAGCCTCAGCCACTGTGTGCAAAAAAAAAAAAGGTTCAATCAATCAATTTCAACTTCTCGTGGGGGAAAAAATAGATCTCGCAAAGTTGAAATTGATTGATTGAACTTTTTAATTCCCACCCATTCTGCCGTTTCCACCGCAGCCACGCCCACCCAATGGGCCACATCTACCCAGTGGGCCATGCCCACTCGGCACCCGACAATACATACTGGGTTGCAGTTTGGGCACTCAGTCTCTAAAAGGTTCGCCATCACTGTTCTAACCTCTTCGTTATGTAGGATCTTAAAAAGTTGCCAACCCTCTTTTGTTTTCCTTGTTTTACCATTTGCTTTGTTTGTTTATCTCTCAGGCTGGACCATCCAGTTCTTCATGTTTCTTGGAATGATGCTGTGGCCTTTTGCGCTTGGGCAGGAAAACGGTTACCAACTGAAGCCGAATGGGAATATAGCTGCCGGGGAGGTCTTGAAAACAGGTACTCATCATTTTCCAGAAAAATAAATTAAGCAAAGAAACTAACTATATCTTCTACCTAGTTTCTAAACTGAAAAACCACTTTTTCACAGAGGTTATTTAAGTTAATGCAGAGTCAATGGTATTGAATTTAATGCTGTGCTATAAAACTACTATAGAAGGGCAAGCTGCTAATATTTATATCTTAAGTGTGTATGTCAGCTTTCTCTCTCTCTTTCTTGATACGCCATTAGTAATTTTATTTTTTATAGTAATATTATTAAACATTACAATTGCACAACTGCATTCCTTAACTTTTGCCTATGCTTCTTTCAACAGACTTTTTCCCTGGGGAAACAAACTTCATCCAAATGGTCAGCACTATGCAAATATTTGGCAGGGAGAATTCCCTAGAAGCAATACAGAGGAAGATGGCTACAAAGGCACTGCATCTGTACGTTAGTGATGTGATAACACAGGGCTGTCAAACACAGTTTCATTGAGGGACGCATCAGGGTTGTGATTGACCTTGGGGGGGGGGGACTGGGGGGTATAGTGTGGGTGGGCATGGCCAGAATGGGCATAGCCAGCTCAACATCACTCATGTTGGGCGGGACTGGGGGGGAGCCATTGTCTCCAGCCAAGGAAGGCGAGACTAGGGCAAGCACTATACCCTTGTCCACCAGAGGAGCCTTGCTGTCCTTCTCAGGACATGCAGAGGACCCCCAGTGATGCAGGCTGCCCGGAGCCCTGGGCAGTGGAGGGCAAGCACCCAGTCCAGCCTTTCCCAAGGGGGTGCACGGCTGCACTTACTTCCTCCTCAAGGCTGCTGCTGATTGGGCTCACTTTCCTTGGCCAAGTTGTTCATGGTGTGTGCGGGAGGACAAAATGTGTGGGTCAGAGGGAGGCCCACTCCCTCTCCCTGCAAGGAGACCCAGTTGTGTAACCAAAGCATCCTCAGCAATAGGATGGAAGACCACCAGGAGAGGTCAGGAGGAGGAGACAAGGGGATGGCGAAAGGGCAGCAAGGCTGCTTGTGGCCAAGTGCTAAGGCAGGACTTGACTATCCTTCTTCTCATTATAATCTCCCTCCCTCCCTCCCTCTCCCCCTTTTCTTCTTTTTCCTTCCCTCTTCATTCTCCTTTCCTTCTTCCTTCCCCTCTTTCCTTCTTTTTGTTTGTCTTTCCTTTTTCCCTTTCTCCTTTCCTGTCCCTTCTTGGATGCCCAAATGCAAAAGGGGAAATATTTCTCAATGCCTCCTTGCCTTGTGATCACTTAAAAGACTGAGAACAAACCAGGCTCTGTTTTTTATATGCAACAGCTTTAGCATTTCAGAACAGAGGTAAGTTAGTTGCTTTTCTATTAATACATAATCCTTAAAAGAGCTATTCTGCAGTGACCCTGCTGCAGTCTAATTCAGACTGGAAATATAGTAAAGGAAAATATTTTTCCCCACTCTGTTTTGTCCTGTTTTCTCCACTGGAAATAACTTGCAACACACAAGGAGGGGATACTTTCCTAAGAGTTCACAATTCAAAAATATCAATGTTAACTTGGATTGCCAATAAAGTCCTGTCTGTGACAAAAGAGAATACAAAATTGCTTTCTCCTTTGAGCCCAAATCTCAGTGGATCCAGGATTGAAGCTCCTTCCTTTTCTTCCTCCCTCCCTCCCTCTCTCCCTCCCCTTCCTTCCTCTGTTCCTTCTTTTCCCTCCCCCATTCGTTCCTTTGTTCCTCCCTCCCTCCCTTTTTTCCTCTGTTCCTTCTGCCATTCCTTCCTGTTTGTTCTTGTTCCTTCCTCCCTCCCTTTTTTCTCTCCCACCCTCTCTCCCACCCTTCCTTCCTTCCTTCCTTCCTTCCTTCCTTCCTTCCTTCCTTCCTTCCTTCCTTCCTTCTTCTCATCTCTTTCCTTCCTCCACGCTCAGGAAGGGGTGATGGGAGGGGGAGAGATTGCTAGCGCTGCTGGTGTCCATACTGCCACCAACCGTCACTATCCCACACGGGTGGGGACGGGGACGGTCCCGGTGAAAGGGAAGCCTTGTGGCTGCAGGGCTAGGTCAGTGAGCAGGCCATGGAGGTGCTGGCGGAGGGGAGGGGTGGCACTAATCTACAACCTGGTTGCGTCCATCAAAGCCAGAACACGTCAGCCTTAGATCCATGGGGCAGCCCTGGAACCAGTGAGGAGCTGCCCCACCTCCTCTGCCCTGCCCCCATGGTGTGCACACAGGAGAGGCCAGTGGCAGCGTCCTGGGTGAAGTCAGCCTATGGGGCAAGACAGCCGGCAGGTAGGCCAGACTCTGCTTGCGTGCGCGTCCAGAGGGTGGGGTGGGGGTGCCCATCACTGGTTCCAGGGCTGCCCCGTGGATCTAAAACTGAACACGTTCTGGCTTTGATAGATGCAACCAGGTTGTAGATTAATGCCTGGTTGACTTGGGCTGGGCCAAGGTGCTGCGGGCCAGTCCTTCGCTGTTTCCAGAGCAGGTCCCCAGGACAGACGGGCCGGATCCAGCCCGCGGGCCTTGTGTTTGACATGTCTGTGATAACAGAATAATAGAATTGGAAGAGACCTTGGGGTCTGTCTGTAAAACATGAGGATTTAGGAAATACATTAAAGGAAAAAATTTTTTTCTAGTAATGAGAAAACTGCAACAGATCATCATCGTCATTTAGAACGGAACAATTCCAAAGCAATATGGTACAGATGAATTCTTCTTTCAGTAAATCCATTGTTTACTAATAGGATAAATAATGTAATTTTTCTGCAGCATTAACCACTTTTTTTTCTGAGGCAGGTAACAGCATTTCCTCCAAATGGTTATGGCCTGTACAACATTGTGGGAAATGCCTGGGAGTGGACATCAGATTGGTGGGAAATTAATCATTCTGCAGATGAAACATACAGCCCAGTGAGTATCTTCATCTGCTAACCTGCTCCTTTTCTACTAAATTCCTAGTTCACATTATAGAATTTGATACACTGCATGGTTGATACAGAGCAGCTTTATTAAATGTATATTCCAGCTAAGCTGTTATTGACTTAGACTTGCAAGAGTAGTACCCATTTTCCAACAGAAATGTAACTGTATTTACAAACTACTTTTATGTATTTTGAGATGAAGCTGACTGAATGTTATGTTCAATGGAACGATTTGTAGGGTTGATGGGGTTTATTTTTCTCCAAAATAATGATGACAAAATGTGAAAATAGACAATTATTCCTAGCTGGATAGAAGTGCTATGAGTTGATGTCTGTGGCCCAGAACAATTAGGCACATGAGAGAATTGTGCACAGTTCCTTCATGTTGCTGACTTAACTTTTTGCTTTCAACAGATTTATGGCTGCAAAACTATAAATCTTCTAATAAAGTTACACAATGATTTTTCTTCTTGGGGGGAGTATAAGCATTAATAGCAAACCACCATGTCTTTGCTTCTTTAGACTTGAGATAACAATAGCAATTAGAGTTATATACCATTTCCAAGTGCTTTACAGCCCTCTCTAAGCAGTTTACAGAGTCAGCCTATTGTCCCCAACAATCTGGCTCCTCATTTTATCAACCTTTGAAGGATGGAAGACAGAATCAACCTTGAGCCGGTCAGGATCAAACTTCTGGCAGTCAGCAGAAATAGCCTGCAATACTGCATTCTAACCACTATGCCGTCAGGGCTCATGTGCCCAGTTTCTATTTTTGAAAATATATATATATATATATATATATATATATATATATATGTTTTCTGAGGTTTTCGCGGGTATTTGTATGTAGGTCTTTGGTTGTTCGGGTTTTCTCCCACGTAAAATTGGAAGTGTCTTGGCGACGTTTCGACGAAGTCCCATTCGTCATCTTCAGGCTGGTGCTTTCAGCTTCGTGCCTCGAGCAGCAATGTGTGGTCTTAGCTGTTTCTTCCTTTTAACTGCCAGTGGGGGTATGAACTGATTGGGTGGGAGCTTGGCTGTGTTCTGATTGGGTGGAGGTGTGTTCTGATTGGTTAGGGGCGTGGCTGTGCTCTGATTGGCTGGGGGGTTGGCTGTGCTCTGATTGGCTGGGGGGTTGGCTGTGCTCTGATTGGCTGGGGGAGTGTTCTGTTTGGTTGTGCTCAGGTTAGTCTGAGTTGCAGAGGGATTCAAGATTTTGGGCTGCCCTGCCATTCCTTGGCTTCGCGTTCGTGGTCGTGCTTCCTCTTCATGGAGGGTGTCAGTTTGCTTCATGTATGGATTGGGGGGGTTTAAAGTGGCTAATGATGCAGCTGTGGTCTGGCTTCTGGTTTGTGGTCGTGCCTCATAGTCAGTGTGGCTTTGGGTTTGTTTTTTGCGTGGATGTTTGGTGGTGACCTCCTGTGTGGTTTTTGTGAGTGTGGGTCTGGTATCATTTTTTGTGTTAGGGAGTCGTTTGTCAATGAGGGCGGGTTTCCAAATGGCTGGTAGGCGGGAGGTATCATCTCGCTTGTTCATGCTGTGTGGGCGTTTTTCTATCTCGATGGCTTCTCTGATTATTCTGTTATTAAAATGTTCACTTTTGGCAATGGTTCTGGTATTTTAAAAGTCAATTTCATGTCCTGTGGCTTTAAGGTGTTGGACCAGGGAAGATGTTGGTTCCTCTTTTTTGACTGAGTTCTTATGTTCTTCAATGCGTGCACTTATTCTTCTGTTGGTTTGTCCGATGTATGTGGTGGGACAAGTGGTGCATGGGATTTCGTATACTCCTTGATTTTCTAATTCAATTTTATCTTTGGGGTTTCTAAGGATGGTGGATATTTTTCTGTTTGTGCAGAATGCTGTTTTGATGTTGTGTTTATGGAGGATCTTACTGATTCTGTCTGTGATGCCTTTTATGTATGGGAGGATGGCTTTGCCGTTTTCTTGTTCTTTGTCTTGGATTTTAGTGGGGGTTTCTTTTTGGATTAGGTTTGTAATCTTATTTCTATGGAATCCATTGGATGTTAGTACATTGGTGAGAGTGTGTAGTTCGGGTTTTAGGTGTTGTTCGTCAGCTAAGCGTTTTGTTCTGGAGATGAGTGTCTTGGCTACAGAGTTGATCTGTGCTGGGTGGTGGTGTGAGAGAGCGTGCAGATAGCGGTTTGTGTGTGTTTTCTTCTGGTAGATGGTGTGTCCTAGGGAGCCATTGGATTTCTTGTAGACTAAGACATCCAGGAAGGGAAGTTGGTTGTTAGCTTCTGTTTCCATGGTGAACTGTATTTTGGGGTGTAGGCTGTTGAGGTGTGTGAGGAAGTTGTCCAGTTTTTCTTTCCCATGTGGCCAGATTATGAAGGTGTCGTCTACATATCTGAGCCAGAGTTTGGGTTTGTGATCAGATTTTTCTAGAGCTTGGGTTTCAAAGTGTTCCATGTAGAGGTTGGCAATGACAGGTGAGAGGGGTGATCCCATGGGTGCTCCTTCTGTTTGTTTGTATTTCTGTCCATTATAGACCACCCTCAAGACAGATACACACACAGACCACCCTCAAGACAGATACACACACCAACAAACTCCGAAGACTACAAGAACGCCAGAAACAAACCCCTCCTCCCTCACAGCCACACATGAAGCAGACAGTGCATAACATCTCAGATAGGATCCTCACCAAAGCCGAAACCAATGTCCTTTCAAAAGGATTCAACTTTGCAGTCGCTCCCAAACACATCCCCACTGAAACCATTATATGTGGAGTTGAAACCAGCCTGACTAAAATCAACCCCGACGACGCCAACAGAATCAGACTCGAAATCACCAACATCCTCTGCACCAGCAAGCCACCAAAAAGCAACTTACCCAAAGAGGAACAGACAGCACTACGTAACCTTAAAGAAGACACCAGCATAATAATCCTACCAGCAGACAAGGGCAACGCCATGGTGGTTATGAACACATCTGACTACCAAACCAAATTAACCAACCTACTCCAAGACTCCACATACAAACCCCTAAATACAGATCCCACCACCTACCTGGAAAAAACCAACAGATCCAAAATAAAAGCCTCCCCCATTAGCGAAGAGATCCAGCAAAGAATCATTCCCAGAGAGAAATCATCCAGATGCCCCAAACCCTATGGTCTCCCCAAGATACACAAGGAAGGAACCCCACTCAGACCTATAGTCAGCTCCATAGGCTCACCTCTACAAAACCTAGCCAAATTTCTCGCCAAACAACTACAGCCCTAGGCAGAATCCATCACCTCACATGTAAAAAACTCATTCCAGTTTATAGAGATCATAAAGAAACAAAACTTACAGCCCAGCGACCTACTAGTGAGCTTCGATGTCATATCCCTCTTCACACAAGTGCCTATCAAAGAAGCCTTGACAGCTATCCAAAACAAATATAATCCCCCCAAACACATCTTAGATCTGACCAACCACTGCCTATCCAACACATACGTCATCTATAATGGACAAAAATACAAACAAACAGAAGGAGCACCCATGGGATCACCCCTCTCACCTGTCATTGCCAACCTCTACATGGAACACTTTGAAACCCAAGCTATAGAAAAATCTGATCACAAACCCAAACTCTGGCTCAGATACGTAGACGACACCTTCATAATCTGGCCACATGGGAAAGAAAAACTGGACAACTTCCTCACACACCTCAACAGCTACACCCCAAAATACAGTTCACCATGGAAACAGAAACTAACAACCAACTTCCCTTCCTGGATGTCTTAGTCTACAAGAAATCCAATGGCTCCCTAGGACACACCATCTACCAGAAGAAAACACACACAAACCGCTATCTGCACGCTCTCTCACACCACCACCCAGCACAGATCAACTCTGTAGCCAAGACATTCATCTCCAGAACAAAACGCTTAGCTGACGAACAACACCTAAAACCCGAACTACACACTCTCACCAATGTACTAACATCCAATGGATTCCATAGAAATAAGATTACAAACCTAATCCAAAAAGAAACCCCCACTAAAATCCAAGACAAAGAACAAGAAAACGGCAAAGCCCTCCTCCCATACATAAAAGGCACCACAGACAGAATCAGTAAGATCCTCCATAAACACAACATCAAAACAGAATTCTGCACAAACAGAAAAATATCCACCATCCTTAGAAACCCCAAAGATAAAATTGAATTAGAAAATCAAGGAGTATACGAAATCCCATGCACCACTTGTCCCACCACATACATCGGACAAACCAACAGAAGAATAAGTGCACGCATTGAAGAACATAAGAACTCAATCAAAAAAAAGAGGAACCAACATCTTCCCTGGTCCAACACCTTAAAGCTACAGGACATGAAATTGACTTTAAAAATACCAGAACCATTGCCAAAAGTGAACATTTTAATAACAGAATAATCAGAGAAGCCATCGAGATAGAAAAAACGCCCACACAGCATGAACAAGCGAGATGATACCTCCCGCCTACCAGCCATTTGGACACCCGCCCTCATTGACAAACGACTCCCTAACACAAAAAATGATACCAGACCCACACTCACAAAAACCACACAGGAGGTCACCACCAAACATCCACGCAAAAAACAACCCCAAAGCCACACTGACTATGAGGCACGACCACAAACCAGAAGCCAGACCACAGCTGCATCATTAGCCACTTTAAACCCCCCCAATCCATACATGAAGCAAACTGACACCCTCCATGAAGAGGAAGTACGACCACGAACGCGAAGCCAAGGAATGGCAGGGCAGCCCAAAATCTTGAATCCCTCTGCAACTCAGACTAACCTGAGCACAACCAAACAGAACACTCCCCCAGCCAATCAGAGCACAGCCAACCCCCCAGCCAATCAGAGCACAGCCACGCCCCTAACCAATCAGAACACACCTCCCCCCAATCAGAACACAGCCACGCTCCCACCCAATCAGTTCATACCCCCACTGGCAGTTAAAAGGAAGAAACAGCTAAGACCACCCATTGCTGC